TGCTTCTGAGAGCAAAATGCACGCTCCGAGAATGATCTCGTACACTTCAGACAAATCTCCTCCAGGTTAAAGATGATTCAGTGCAGATTATTTTCGAGCCCCAAAAACAATCTTGTGGAAGACATACCAACTTTACTGAAGCACAATGTGTGTGTTTTCAAAATTGTCAAGGTTTACAAGGAAAGCAGCAAAGAGGCAAAAGAAATCAGGAGGGAGAGAGAGAAAAACAAGGGAGTTAGGAGAGAGAAACAGAGATGGAGGATGCAGGTGTCTAACCTGTACAGACCCAAATCTCGACTTTGCCCTTTGCCAACGGCACACACCTGTGTCAGCTGCCTCTGCCTGAGCCTCGGTTACCTTATTTTAAAAAGGTTAAATCCTCACACTTTCTCATAGGGTTGGCATGGACTAGATGTTCACAGGATACCCTCCCTTTCAATAATGCAGAGATAACCCAGGAGGAGACACGTGCACCACCTCTCTCCCAGCCAGGTATGGCCATGTGACTCGCTCTCCCAAAGGGATGTGAGTGGAAGTGGTCTGGGTCCCATCTAGACCAAGGTTTTTAAAGTGAGCCTGTCTGCTCTTTGCCCTCCTTCCTTTTCTACTCGTTGGGGGTAGATGACCCTGAGGCCCTAGGGGACAACAAAACCACAAGACAAGAGGAGCCTGAGTCCCGGAACCACTGCATGGAAAAGAGCCACCCTCAATGGGGGACTCTGACTGGACTCTTCCAGGAGCACAAGATCTTGTGTTGAGCCATTTAAACTGTCGAGTTTATTTGTTATGGAAGCTAACACTATACTGACTAATACAGCATGCAAACTGCAGGCAGACATAACAAAAACTATGGTTTAAAAGGCACTAGATAAAAGGAAAACACCGCACACCTGCTTTTGGCATTTTCTTTTTAAGGAAAAGAAATGAGATCCAATTTCCAGAGGATGGTTTTTCACCAGTGTCTTTGGAAGAAACTTTTAATTGAGCAGCCCCTAATGAGATTATCTCTTTGAGGGGGAAAACAAAGCCAAGGCCAAGTTTCTTTCCTCCCCTTCCCCCTGAAAAGCCTCCTGCCAAGTTCTAACTGCTATTATTTAGCAAGTTCTTCAATTTAAAAAGTTACCATCTACTCACCACCCTGGTGAAGCTGTCAGTTGCTGAGAAATGGAACACAGCCAGCTGATTAGTTCTGATGGACTGCAGTGTGGAAATCCAGTCTCTGTCACTGAAGTGCCTGTTCATCCAATTAACCAAATTACTACGGGGAACTCTCGCCAAATGCAACTTAGTGGCCGGCTGCTGGGGAGGTCAGAGATGGTGGAGGAGGGGATTCTGTCAAGTGTCGGCTCCTCCTTCCCTGTCCTCAAGCCAGAAAGAGTGGTGCCTGCAGAAAGAGCAGAGCAGACCCACCCTACTGCTCTCCTGCCCAGCATGAAAATGTAGGTGTGACTCTTTAAAAGGGTGTCTCCGTGTTGTTGTGAAGACAGCCACCACCACCGTCGTCACCATCAATAATGATGCTGGTTTTACTTCATCATTTCACGCCGACTGCTAAAGCACCTGCTCTGTGCCAGGCACTGAGTTTGGAGCTGAGACTAGCAGAAGACATACTGGTCTAAGACTATGTCTTTCTGGAATTAGTATCCTAACAGGGAGAGACAAACAGCACAATTCTTCAAACTCAACACTACTGGCTTTGGGGATCAGATCCTTCTTTGTGGTGGGGGTGGTCCTGAGATTGCAGGGTGTTGGGGAGCCTTCCCTGGCATCCATCCACTAGATACCAGTAGTACCTTGAGTTGTGACAAGCAAAAATGTCTCAAGACATTATCAGCTGTCCCCTGGGAGCAAATGCACCCTCTCAGCCTCTCTTCCCCATTGAGAACCACTGTTCAGCGGTTACCCAGATAAAGAGATACCTACTGGTTGGGATTCAGGCTGGGAAGGATAGAAACAGTAGAGTGAGACAGAGGCAGCTGGGTGGTCAGGGAAGGCTCCCTGGGGAGGTGGCATTTAAGCTGAGACTCCAGATGAGGAGGAATCAGCTATGTGAGGATCTGAAGAGGTAAGGAATCTGGATTTTATTTAAAGCAACTAAGAGAAGCAAGATCGAGTGGTCTGGTGCGGAAGCCAGACCTCTAATGCCTCAGTTTCCCCATCTGTTTAATGGAGACACAAAAGCACCTGTCTGGGAGAGCTGAGGTGGGGATTGAGTGAGTTCATGCATTTGAAGTGTGGAATCTGGAGTCTGGTGCAAAGTCAGCATTCACTGGCTGCCCAGCGGGAGGCTGGAGCTGCCTGGAATCAGCCCAGGGCAGCAGACTGCCCACGTCTCTTTCCCCCTGACAGCTCTCCGGGAGCTTGGACTTGGCTGTGGTGGGAGTGTTTATATCACGGAACTTGGCATGTGCTAGGAATCGGGGTTTCTCCTCCAAGTGCCAAGAGTTAAACGTCTGTCAGCACACTCCTGGTTGTCTGTTATTAGTATTAGGGTTGGCAACCAAAGGGTTTTGAACATAGGAGTGAGCTGATGGGATTTAGGTCTTTAAAATGTAACTGACTATTTTGTAGAGAAGAGACAGAGAGGTGAGGGTAGGGGAGGAAGCAGGAACACCGGTTGGGAGGCCCTGGTCAATGAGACCAGGTGGTGAGGGTGGACTTGAAGATCAGGGTCAGATCTGAGACATATCCTGGAGATAAAGGGTGTGGACCTGCTGGTGGACTGGACGTGATGGACAGACTAGGGGTGACGTTTCTGGACTTTTAGGCAGATGGAGCGTGATGTGATCTCTATTACTACTGCTACTGGCAGCCACAACAACAGCAACAAAGTTCCTGGTTGCCTTCTGCTGAGCTCCCACATACTTCCATATGAATATATATTTCCATGTATTCCATATTTCCATATATTTATTAAGTACAGACAACTTCCATATTATTTCCCCAATCTTCTCTAAAGGGATGTGAAGGAGCTGTAATTAGACTAAGCTACATGTGGCTGTGGCACTGAGGCTCAGAAGAATTCAGGGGCTTTGCCCAAAGCACCGGGGGGCCAGTGGCGCATCCCAGGTCTCGGGCAGCTCTCTCTGACTTGGAGGCCCACGCCCACCTCCAGCCTGCCTCACTTTTTCTCCATTCTGAATCTGCTCTACAAATGCCCTTGGCCCTGGAAGAGGGGCCTCTTTGCTCTTGGGGTATCTTTGGGGTGGATGCCGAGCTGTGTTCTTCATAGTATTTGGCAAGCAAGGAAGCACAGGAGAGGAGCTGCAGCTGGAGGAGGTTAGAGGAAGCTCCCTGCTTGGCTCCCTCACTGCCTTCCACTTCTCCCAAACTTTCTGAGACTCTTTTTCCTGGGCATGATTTAAAAGGACTCAAGCAGGTGGCTCTCAAGTTCTGGGGCTTGTAATTATCATTAGCATCACTACCACCATCACCATCATCATCGCCCTTGTAACAGAACATTTATGGACATTAATACATACAGATATATTAATATACATTGTTAAATTGCTAAGAGTGCAACAGGCATCATGCAAATGCCTTACCTCACTGGCTCAGCTCCGTGAGGTGGGTCACATTATTATCAAAATAGAGATAAAGAGACTGAGGCTTCGAAAAGATAAAAGAAGTTGCTCAGATCACCAGATGACCAGTAAGTGGTAGAGCCAGAATTCAAATCTTTAAGAGCCTACAGGGTTCTTGGGCTCCAAACCACTTGTTCTTATAATTAAATTGCCCTCTATGCCATTAGGTGCTTAAAAAGGCTAAGATATGCAAAGGTTTCCCTCGGTCAGTTTTCCTCAATGACCCCCTGCTGTGTCCTCCCAACCCCCACCCAGCGTGAGTCAGCCACTCCAGCCAGGTGAAAACTGAGTCGGAGGTCAAGTGGGTTAGGGTCCCCTTGGGTGACATCATGCCTCCCATTAAGGAAACATGTCCCCGTGCCACAAATCCAAGGGCAGGACAAACTCTGCCTGTGGGGACGTGTTCAGTTGGGAAGAAAGCACCACCACCTATCTGTGTGTTCCAGCTCCTCTCGTCTCGTCTTTTTTGCCATCAGTGGTTCGTAGAATTGGACAGGCGCCTTTAAGAACTACATACAATGGCATCTGACTGGCTCATCTTGGCTGAACGCTCTCTTCAGAAGGGACGGAAAAGCGCATCTGAATGCTGGCAATTGTGTCATACTGGTGAAACCCACGTCTATGTAGATAACCCTTCAAATGTTCCGAAGAAGAAAAAGTACACACACCACCACACCGACCATAACCAGAAGTGGAAACATTCTTTTTGTGCTTGAAAACAGACAGTCTGGTCTGTTACCATTATTTGTGTCAGTTGCACTGATACTTTCCTTGGCTCAGAGACATGCGTAAACGGACTGTCGTGAATGCAAATTTTGTGGTAAAGGCCATTTATACGAGCAAACTCTTGACTTTTCCAATCAGTAATCTTTAACGTGCCATCCGGATTATGTCTCTATTTGGATTATTTATGAGAATTCTTCCTGCTGCAAACAGGCAGAGTCGCCTGTCTTTGGCAACAGGTCTGAAAGTTTATTGACTTAGTCTTCCTAACCCCACCTCTCCTAGCACACTTTTTCTTCCTCCTTCTTAATAGGTTGGTATAGTGACATGTAAGAGAACCTCAGCGTGTGGTTGCGACATTTAAAAAGAAGACTGTACTTCCTTGGTGAAATCAGTCCAATGTTTGCATTTATAGGACCCCTGAAAACTTTGCAATATTCACATATGCTAACTAGACCCTGGCCCAGTGTCACCTGCTCACCACAGAGGCACGCGTGTTCAACAAAATCACAGTCCCTGTGACCTTAGGGATGCTTCTGAGAGCTGATCGAGGAATTCCCTGACACTCCTATTTAAAGGAAGCTGGTAGAGTTTGCTGAATGCCTTCTAACCACACTGCTTCTTTAGAAGGGATGAAGCATACATTTTCACTTTTCAGCAACCCGGGAGGAAGGAAGCCTTATTCCCATCTTGCAGACTAGAAAACTGAAGCCCCAGTGATGTTAAATACCTCACCCAAGGCTACATGGCTTGTAAGTGGTTGAGGGAGACTGGACCCGGGTCACTGACATCCTTCAGAGCCCTGCTTACTAAAGTGTCCTTTTGATATGAAACTCCTCGGGTCCAGGTTAAACATATAACTCATTGTTCAGATTGTGATGATTTTGAGCGAGAAAAGGAGTGATCTTAAAAATTAGGCTCATCATAAGATCATGCGTCGTATGTCAGGACAGTCCCAGACAATCAGAACATGAGGTTACTGGAGTTATAAAGGTAGGTTCCCACGCCCCATCCCAGACCCACTGAGTCCAGGCTCTAGGGGCGGGACTTGGACATGGTTTAACAAGATTCTCGATGATGCTCACTGTTGCCAAGTGGTCCCTGAATCCTGGTTGGCTACTTCAGAATCATCTGGGGAGCTTGTTAAAATACTGGTTTTGGGGTCTACCAGCACTATGTATTCATATTTGGTATGTCTGATCTGGGGCACAGAATTGTGCATTTGTAACAAGGGTCTGTAACATTCTTGCTAAATAACAAATCATTATTAACAAAATAGGGACTGAATTCAAAACATAGCCTTCCGTTTTGTTACACATGGGGAAGTAGGAAAATCTTCATCTTATAACTCTTTTTCAAAAAGATGTTTCATTTTTTTGTAAAGAATTGAATCAAAATAGAAGGAATATTCTCTGCCACCCCCTGGCTGGTGTATGAACTTGGGGAAAGTTCCTTCCCTTCTCTGGGCTCCAGTTTACACGTGTCTATAAAAGGAAGAGCAGAAGGAATGTCTCAATTTAATTAGTTAAAATATACCCAACATATACTCAGAATCATGCTTAGTGTGTAAAGAGCTCAGTGAACCTAACCACCGTGGTGAATTTTACCTGATCTGATTCTTCCCAACCTGCTTTGCGATTTTAGTCTTTTTTCCTCATTACATACATACACACATACATATTACTATATCTAATTACAGTATAATGTTTCTAACCCTTAACCACTATACCACCATCTGCCATCTGACTACCTATTGTCACTCTGCTCAAAACCAATTTCCTGTAATTTTTTTCTATTCCATCTGACTTTGTCCTAAAATGCAAAAGAGAGAAGAATTTGCTAAAATAATGATGTGCTGAAAAATCGTAAGAACTGGTATTCTGGAACTGAAAAGGACATTACGAATACTTCTTCACCATGCTTTGTAATGGCTGTATAATGTTCCACTGGAACACTTCAGTTAGCCAGTTGTCTGTTGTTGTATATTAAGGTTTCCTGGGTGTTTGGATACTATAATTGTTTGCTTACTTGCTTCCCTGTTTTGATTAGC